ATCACGGTACCTTGATACCGAGCCCTGCAGCTCTTTCTCCCGATCGGAAGTGAATTTTTCTCTTAGAAATGCACTTGGAATGAAAAATGATACCGATATGTACCAGTACGTAGCGCATACATATGTTTTTTTATGTATTTCTTTTGATTTGGAAGATAAGGCCTGAGAGACATCCAGGAGACAGAAAGTCCAAGGGCCAGAGAAAACCTGGAAAGTCAAAAAGAAGGGGAAAATAATTTTGCTTAACACCTTGGCATTTATTGAATGCAGCGCTGTCATGAACTCTTTAATTCTAGTATAAAAGAGTATATACATTTAAAAGGACTTACTTCATGGTCATTTCAATTCAGGTCAAAAGGTCACTAAACATGGTTAATAAACGTTGCTTGTTTTCCTTACAAAATTTTGCGTGAACAGCGATTCTCACAAGTTCAAAAAGCAACGACTCAAAGAGATTATAACGATTATTTTCAATATAGATCAAATGGAAGTTACGTTATGCAAATAACGTCATTTGCATATTCGCTATGCTTAACTAATGTTAATTGTAAACACTCATATCAAGTTCGGGGGTTGATTTCCAGACTTCTCATCGTGTGATTTGTTTTCCTTGTGCACACTATGTTGCATAGTGCTTTAATTCATACCCTGTCTAGAGGCAGGATTGCAATTTTTCATGAAAAATAAAATAACAAAATTTTACGTGAAATATTTCATACAATTTTAGATTAATATGAGAGATTTTTAAAAATATTTTTCGAAATTAGAATGCAAAACTAAATGAAAGGCAAATGCTTTTTGCTTTTTTGTATTTTTTTGTGCGTGTTGCATGCTCAGCCCCTAAAATTATACTTCATATTTTTCATACGTGAAATATTTCATAGAAATTTCCAATCATTCATATTTTTCATTTCACTTGTGCAACCCTGTCCAGAGGTCCATCTGAACTTTACTAATAGTAACCTACTGTTGTCAAGAGCGCGGTTCTCTAGAGCTTTACCTCCACCATTTCACTTTATGGATAGAAAAGAGGGAAACTGAAAATTGAATGCGTTTTTCTATATGGTCAATTTTTTGTCTTTATTTTTTAGGTCAAGAACTTTGGCCGAAGTGGGCGAACGAAGTACACTCATCTTGTTGATCAAGATACCACATCATTTGAGTCTCCGTGGATGGCAGACACGACTCAAAATGTCAAATTCCACAACAACCAAGCTGCAGGAATGAAACAAGTCTTCGAGAAGCCTAGTCTGAAAAAGAGGAAAATGCCGAGCAATTAGAGTTTTTAACTATTTAGTCTTGTAAAAAAGTGTAAATAATGTAATTTATGTACTGTGATAAGTGAAACAAATTAAATACACATGTGTAACGTTTGTATAAATAAATCGACTTTATTATAAAATTGTTTTCATTCAGTTTATGATTCATCAAAATTTCATTCATGAAAATTCCCGGGGAGGTGAACAAGTATGAAATGCAGCTCCCAATTCGTTCTCATTTTGGCAAAGTGTACTCAATTTTCAAAACCACTTCAAAGTTACTGTTTTGTAGGATGTTTACTTTTTGCAGGCAAAGACCCCCTCGGAATGAGCAGGCAAGATGGCTGCGTGGCGCGACGGGAACTCAGAGCAGTTCGAGCACTCTCTAACCAATACCTACTCTAACCCATCCTATCGTCTGCCGCCTCCCCACCTTATCCATCCGCATAATCATGTTTCCAATAATGTAAAATGAATCAGTGAGTTCGGAAACACTCCAACACGGGTTTTTTTCGATTTTCACTTTTTTACGGTTTAGTTACACTTCTGGATAAGTAGAAGCATCTGCACGCAAAAGGATATTTCGAAATTGCAATCGGAAGTGCTCGAAACGGCGACGGGAAAAGGGAAGAATCGAAGAATTTCATTGGAAATACCAATTTTTGGCCGATCAAGGGAAACGGGTGACTATCTGATGCGGTTTTCTTTTTTCGGTTCAGTATACCTTGTGCCAACAAGTTATATAAATATTCAAGCGTTATTCAGGTCAAAAAATATAAATTTTTCAGGGCAGACTATGAAAAATCAGTATCTGAAACTTGGTGCGTTAAAGTCTCTAGCAGAGTACTTCTTGCGTCCTTTGGCACCAAAAAGGTTTTTCTTAAACTAACTTCTTCGCCCGCTGCGAAGTTTTAGGTGTTTCCTGAAAAATTTTTTTTTTCCGAGTTGGTGTATTTTCGAACTCACTGATTCAAATGTCATCTTAGGTACCTAATGCTATATTTATGCTCCCATATTTCACCCCTTGATGCCTGACTGGTAAAATTCACCACTTTTTGGATCGTTATGTACTTTTGTAGGTATAAGTTATCAAAATCAGTCATAAGTTATGCAAAGATATTTTTTTAGCAAATTGTTCAAGAAATATGCTAAGTGCCTCGTTACCTTTAACAGGATGTTTCCCAGAAGTTGTACCATTGTGCCACAAAAAAAAAATTATAAATTTGTGCGAATGCTGAGTTAAATTTTTAGCTTGATGGTTCATCTTCACATGGAAATATTTTTGGTAGAATTACAAATTCCACAATGAAAGTCTAGCAACACAGCTAACTTATCAAAAGCCCTCATATTTCTTGAAGTCAGGAGAGGGTAATATTTCTTCCCCCCTCCTCCTAACTAGTTCCCCCAATGCTCCTGAAAACATCTCTGCTGAGCGCAAAAATCCTCAAACTCATCCCTCATCATCTGGCATCCCCATGGCTCAGATATAAATGAAGCCCCTCCCCCCCTTATTTTCCATCAAAATTCAAAATTTAAGTAGGTACGTTTAGAATTTGATTTCAATGCCTCAGAACGCTGCGGGGCCCCCACATGCACAAGCTTGTGATTTCTCCAGATATGCTAAAGATTTTCCCTCCTTAGGTAATCCTTAAATTATATCAGAAAAATGTCTTGCCACAGAATTTTGAGAATTACCCTGGTTAGTACTTGGTTTGAACTCTTTTAGAAATTTAATCCCGATCAAAGAGGTCAATTCCCTGAGCTGAGCAGTTTAATTTTTCTCCGAGAGTGAAATTTGTGCTTGGCGCCATTATGTGATGTGCAAAGAGTAGAGGAGAGGAGAGAGCAACAGAGTATAATCATGGCGTCCGAGCGAGCTTCATGCACGCTCCACCAGCTACTCCCGCTCTGTGATCGCCTGCTCATTCGTAGGGGGTCTTTGCCTGCAAAAACGCTCAATCAAAAGGACACGTGTTTCGGTTTGAAGTCAACATCCGGCTTCAGGGGAGAAGGTACGAGAAAGGAGGGAAAATACGCTTTTTCACTTTGGCGGAAGGCTTCCTATCAGTTTTCTAGAAGCCCGGCACCTGTTTGGCGAGGATCAGAAGTCGCGACGACGGAGACGGGACGAACTAGGACGGACCCTCCGACCGACGCCAACAGATCAAAACATGCCTCAGTCTGTCGACACCTCGTGCGCGCCAATCAGCCAATCAGAGAGTGCGAATCTGTGGATGGTCACGCCACTCCACTCCAACGCAGCGGCACCCCGCAGCGCTACACTGTCCATTCATTATTCATTATTCAGTCAGCCGGCCGTCCCTTCGTATTGTCTCGCCACCGCGTGAAATCGAAACTGATCATTCATAGCCATCTTGAAACTGAGTGTTAAACTTTCTAGATCATCCTTTTCGAGTAATCTGTCCTAATTATCGTGTTTCGTGAAAAGTCCTCGGTGTATCTTAGAACAGTCGTTGCGTGAATCGGAACTACGGCCGCGGCAAGTGCAAGACACGGACTCGTTTTTGGAACTTGTTGATTCATGATTCTCGAGCCCTGACGCATGATGTCCTTGGTCCTGCCTTTGAGTGATCTGATTGAATTCTTACTCTAAGAAGTTGCGTCGTTCGTCGTAATGTGCGAATCCCCGGATTATCGTGTTTCTCGGAAACTCTTCGGTCGCGTGTGAATTCGCAGGTCGAGTCAAAATTCGCCTGCGGCAAATAGAAGGGTCGGCCATTTTGCCATTATTCCGGCACTTGTTGACTTATGACTCGTGGGTCCCAAGCCGTGTCTCTTGATGTCCTGTTTTTGAGATTGTTAATTATCAATTGATTTTCGTCGTGTAATGGAAAAAGTGAATTGCCGGTACTCCAGTGCAGTTTTCGGGTTCGTGTCGGTTTGTGTGAAGTGTGAACTTTCTGTGCGAATCGTTCGATAAACTTTGGTCGCGGTGTTCGTTCGACTCAAGTGATCTCGTGCAGTTCGCGGCTCCTTTTGAATTCTCTAAGACTGAATCTATCGAGTGTTTTCATTACTGCGAATAGGATTTCCGATACCTGGTCGAATTGCTGGTCTTTACTGCTACAGCTGGGTACTGGATTGAGGTTTGAAGTATCTTTAATTTTTTTTAGATTTTGGCCAGATAAGGTGTCATTCAATGCGAAATTGTTATGTACTCAATGTATTTGTCTTCTCAAGCTGTCTGTTCTTTTTCTCTTGTCGTTTTCCCCTCTTACTTAGGAGGTCTCCTTATTTTCTGAAGGTGAAGTAAAAGTGGCTCAACGATGATCTGACTCAGTCTATGATCATTACTTTTAAGTAAAAAATTCTAGCAGTGTTTTCGGTTTGACAGCTCGAACTCTATCCATGAAAATGAGAGGTCTGTAGACATTTGCAATCGCCTTGAGTCAGATTCTGGCAACCTTCTTTTAAGGTGACTTGTTACATTTCCTGTTGTGATTGAACTGGAGTGCAATTGATCGCATCAATAAAGTCTAATATCTCTGCAAATCTTGAATTTTTAGCCAAACAAAGAACCATACTCCTTACGAATGAGCTTTAACTTTCATACTAAACCAACAAACTGGCAAAATTTAGTGAAATGAAAGCAGGATCCTCTTCGGATCAGAACATTGCGTGCAACAGTTATTTGGCTAATGCATTGAATGTGATTTTTTTCTCCAGAAGGATACTATTTTCATTTCTCTGAATTTTGCTCATTTGTTGGTTTAGAATGATTGTCAAGGTTCATGTGCATGGGCCATCATTATTTTTCATGCTATAAATTCCAAATCTGCTCAGATTTGTTACTCAGTTGATGCTATACATTTCACGTCAATTTGGGCACCCCAGAAACCATATGATGATTCATCTTCCTACCGTAGAAACTTTTCAGGTTTTCAACACTTATCGTAGGACAATTAATTGAATTTAAATTCTTCTCTGAAGTTCATATTGCTTCTAACTTCTAAGATTAGTAGTCAAGTACCTATCATCTTATCGTTATCATGATCTGTACTTAATTCATTTTTTTTTCAACATGTCTTCAATTTACCTAAATGTAGAATGGTCAACAACAATTCAATATCCTTTCCTTCCCACCAACATTCTGAGGTCCCCGGATTAATTTTGACAAGCCTCACAGTCTCGGGAAGAAATATTTCTTAAACTGTTTTTCTGCATATTAATTTCTAGATTAGTTATATATGTTGAAGACTAGAGGAAATTTGTCCACTATCAAAAAATGCAAAGTAGATAAATTAGAAACCAAAATTCTGCAACCATCTTTTCCAGAAATTTACTGATGATGAATATTGGTGCTTCTATGAGAGCATAATCCTGTGTCAATAAATGTGTAAAATGTGCCCCCTCCTGATTTCCATCATGAATACCTAATTCCCATCTCCTCTTAGGACCTTATACCATGTTTACAGCTTTCCACTGTAACAATTCTTGTTTCATTCAGCCCCTCCACAAGAAGAAAAAATAGTTTTGCAAGTCCCTGACGTGTTAAGTTTTGTAGCTATATCATCAACACCGGCAGTATTTTCATAGATTCATGTGCCTAATCCTTGATTCAGGAATCCCCCTCTCCTTTCCGACCTCATACCCTCAAATGGTTCACTCACAGTCACTATCTATTTTTATTCGGCGAACTTTCAAGTAGATTTTCCAGGCAATTAAAATAATAATGTGCTTTCCAAAAGCTTTTAAGTTATTCTAAAATGAACGACATTCGACTCCATATACTTAGATCCTGTATTTCCCCTTAAATTTTGATAAGCTGGCTCTCACTTTTAGAGTTATTTTCTGAAAACATTTCCTGAAATTTATGACGTCACAGTTGGATACACGCGAAGACGACCAGTAGAAACTTTCTGTTTTTCAGTGATTTAGTTAAAGTGTCTAGTTTTGCCGACAAGGGTCCAACAGATGGTATTGAAGAGAGAAAGAAGATACTACTTAAGATGTTAAAGAGAGAGAAAGAGCGAACATCCATGCCCCACAAAGCGAGCTCAGAGAGAATTTTTTCCTGCAGACGTATCTCTTAAGTGTCAGGATGGGTTAGCNTTAGAAATAGTATCATCGCCCCCCCCCCCCCTCACCTCCCTGCAAAATCTGCAAAGTAGAATATAGCTTCAGAGCTGGCGAGACAGTTAGAGAGCTTTTCCCATAATTATTTGCAGAGATAAACCTTATGTTTGCCTTCGGCCAAATTTTGCGCTGGAGTTGCTCAAAATGCATAGTCTGAGAGAGGTCAATATTCCAAGATTTTCCGAGAGAGAGTTCAATACGCCAAGATTTTCCGAGAGAGACTCCCCGAATTTTCATCACATTGGCAAGACGCAGACTCCCTAAAAAATAGGTGGGGGGGGTGGAGCAAGTCACCTCGAGATTGCTCTAGCCACGTGGCTTACCAGAAAAATTTTAAATAGTTTTGTCAGACTATCGAGACGAAGATGTGGAGTGATAGCAACGTTAGTCAAATCGGGGGGGGGGGCCATCAGTTGTTTTGAGGAGCGCCGCCCAAAAATTCTCCCAGAAATATTGCCCTAAAATGACATAAATCGCTCCTCTTGTAGGTATACTCTACTTCCAACTTTAGAGGGCCTATCACACTTTCCCCCATCCAAATGCTACTTGGAAAATGTCAGAGGAAATTCTCAATGTTTCTCCATGTATTATTTTCGGGTCTAATTTCATCATCGTTCATTAATAGTGAGGATGTTTCGCTCAGTCGAGCCGATTTTTTCTAAAAGCTAGTTTAGACCGCGCTAAGCAGAAAGGAACTAAGCCACATTAGATATCCTTGAATGTAAGTAGTTGGGCATTTTAATTTTTAAACGTGAAAACGGTTGTGCAGACTTTCGTGCCTATGTCGGTGAATTTTTTGCACAGTGCTCGGCAAATTCCTTAAAATTTTCAGGGGACTCCCTCGCAAACGCTCTCTTGTCGAAAATTTAATTGCCCAGTTAAATTTGGCAATAGCGGACATGACTTGGGTCCGGGTCCTTTCGCGGGCTTAGCCGACGGAATTGATGAGAGAGAAGAAAGATAGACGAAAGAGAGAGATGGTGAGAGAGTGAGCGAGTGAACATTCATGCCCCTCCGAAGCGACAAGATTACGTCCGATTCTCTCGTGAATTTTTGGTCAGGTGTTAGCAGAAAGTGAAATAAGAAAAGGCGGGAAAGGGGGAAAACCAAGGCTCCGCTCAGAATCGGCCCACCCCAGCACTGCCGTGCTAAGGAAAAACGCCGTATGAGCCTTCAGGCGTTGCCAAATTTCCTCTGGCATATCACTGATTTTCAAGAAAATTTTTGAATATTTTTCTGCCAATTTCTCAGATAATTTTGCTTATAATTTGATCAAGGATGTCTGAAAATTTCAAGAAAAAATATTCGTAACTTTCCTTAAAAATGAACATTTTATCCGCGGAAATTTGGCAACTCTCGAATGTTCATGCGGCGTTCTTCCTCAGCACGGCAGAGCACTCGACCCGACAGGATGCCCGTAAGTGATCAGTTTTGCCGACCAGCAAACCTTTCTAGGAATTCCCCCCTGCTCGGGAGATTTTAGCTGATAGATTCAGAGTTTCGGTTGGAGAGCCTTTGAAGTGACCTGAAATCGTTCGCTTGCCGTCTGCCGATACTTAACACATGTTTTCCGTCTCAACCCTTCTTCCAGTCTCCTCAGAGTTACATAATCTAACTCAATTTTCAGATTTTTAGGGACATGTGTGAGTGTGTCCCCGTCCACGGCTGGCTGCCACCTCTCTTTCAGATCGCTTCCATTGTTCTTGTGTCGAGACATGTCTAGACTTTGTCCGCTGGTGATTGCCGCCACCAGAGCGTTGGTTGAAAATCTCCATCAGACTCCCCCCCCCTTTCCCTTTCCTTATTATTTTCATCCAATCTTGAAATGATTCGATATCCGATTTAGCAATTGATTATTTCTGGATTTTACCTTTTCGCACTTTAAATATTTCTGAGTGTAATATCACGCTGTAGCGCGTCAGATATTTTTAGACAAAACTTGACCTTGTAAAACTTTAGACTAACTGTAAACGAATATCTCTTGTGGGCATCGCGAGTCGTTGTACCCTTCGATTTGTGATTTTCGCTCGGGATGTACTTTTAAAGTTCTTTCAAAATTTTTCTCAGTCAGTGTCAGTACCCGACGATCTACGTTGTGACGAGACTCGCAGAAATTTTCGAAGAAATGTCCTGAAATTCAGGAGTAATCAATTGATCTATCCACTAACGAATCGTCTCTCAGAGGGCTGATGAAACCACCGTAACCTTCGAATGAAAATCTTCGCCATCCCCCCCCTTCACCATAAATACACCTCCAATTTTGTGTCCATACTTTAAGGAAAAGAATTTCAGGGATTCGGTATTACCATTTATTTAAGTAGGTAATTAATTACAACTAATTATCTCTAATTTGAAATTATATACTAAAATTAAAATTATAAATAAGCTTTTCCATGTATAGCTGCCAATATTCAAGTGAAGAGACCATTTCTAGCAATCGCTGTTTTTTGTTTGGTGCTTGAATGATGGTCTCTGCAGAGGGGAGTGAAATACAGAAATTTATTCCCAGCATTTATTACCTCTAAGGTTTAATTTAAATGTGATTCAGTGTTAGACATCCGTGAAGTACGGCTTCACATTAAATCATGAACTTGTCAAGTAGGTATACCTACAAGAAGTTGCATCTTCTAGACTGCGGTTTCATGTAATTAAAAGGAAGAAGAAGAAAGAAGAAAGAATATCCATAATCCCCTATTATAGCTTTTTTTCTTTCTCATTTATGATCTGTAACCTTCTCTTACTTTCTAATTAATTTTTTCCTAGTTTTTTCATTGTAACTGCATGTTCGTGTGAGTAGTTATTTTTTCATAACATTATCTTTAAATTCATTTTTAATTTATGTAATTGTGTCTTGATTTTGTTCTAGGTATTTGTTCAAGGTGATTCGATGGACGCCATATTATTTCCTGTCACATAACGAGACGCGATACATTCCGTCGATTAGTTCCATGTTTTCGGATATTCGTCATTTTCATTGAATTTCGAGATCGCATTTCTGTGGTCACGAGAC